TGACAGAGACAAATCACATGAAATTCAAAGGTACAGGTTAACTGAGAAATAACTATTTTCTATGAAAAATAATGACTTCTCCTGAGGCTCATGTCAAGATTTATTGGCCCAAGTGGTTACAAAGGATTAGCAGGTACAGTGTGAGACCTTGGAGGGAGGGACCTTGGGCTGAAGCCTCACCAGGGTCAATACATCTGAATGCCAAGGCGCTCTGCTTGCACTCATGCTAGTGAGATAAAATGTCTAGCACTTTCTGTGGATATACTTTCTCTCCGCCCACAAGAGTAATTTTATGGCTTGGCTCCTGCAGCTGTAGCAGTCTTCAGAAAGCCCGGCCTGACTCTCATTAGTTTCCATCATCAGCTTCTCTTCAAGGACAGCGTGCCAAGGCTAGAGCATGCTGCACCTGCTTTGTACCTAGGGAAGGTGGCTCTGGGGAGGTCCTGGCTGGGCTGTGTGTAGCCCCAATGTGCCTAGGTTTCAGGACCAACCTCCACCAAACTAGACTAGCCAGGGGTGCTGTGGAATTGGAGGCAAATTTGCAAGGTTTTGATGGGGGAGATTTACTGCCATGCCAAATGTGTGTATAAAATACATAATTTGTCTCACTCAGCCTCATTAATCCAAAGGGTTTAGCAATAAATAGGGGGAAAAAGTAAAAAAAAAAAAAAAAAGAATAATTCATTCCAAAAACAAAACAAAAAACAACCAACCCCGCCCCCCAGAAAAAGTAAAAAAAAAATACAGAATAATTCATTCCAAAAACAAAACAAAAAACAACCAACCCCGCCCCCCCAAACCCACACAAACAAAACCAGAGGGCATTTAATAAGAAACCTATATAGGTCAGAAATGTGTCTTAAAATTATGTACACAGAAGAGTGCATATTCCCTGACCTGACCAAACCTCTTCTGTGCTCTGACACCAGTTGGGAAACTTGGTTCAGGATCTTAGCTGGCACATCCCTGGAGCCATGTGTTCACTGGGCCTATTGGACAAAAGGTGGCTTACTGAGCAGCTCATTGGAGCTAAGAGCCTGGGATGCTCCTGAGGCCAGGTTAACTATGAGTCTGTAAAGGGCTGTTGGGAAAGGAAACCTACTTCATAGCAGGGGCCCAAAGGAATTGTAAACGGCCTGGAAACCAGCACCAAAGCATGCAGCAGAGGCAGGACAAATCTGATGGCTTAGCGCCAACGGGCTTTCCCAGAGGTCATAAGCTAGCCAGAGGAAATAATGCCTTACAGTTGGAGATCTGGGCATGGTGGGAGAGGCCAAGCTCTGGATGGATCAGCCTTGGACTCCCATGTCCCTAAGGCTAGCAGGATGTTCATCTATCAGGAATCCACACCCACAAGGGCCTTCTCATTCAAGAAGTAACTATTTGAATAATTTTGTGACTATACTAAACTTTATCAATATGTACATTTTAAAAAGAAAACTATGGTATATGAACTATGCCAATAAAACTTGATGAGAAGCCAGGTGGTTGGTTGTATTGTACACCTTTAATCCCAGCACTTAAGAGCCTGATAGAAGCTGTGGATACGATGCCCAGGGGAATGCAGACAGAGACAGCCTGTAATGGGCATAGAGAATCTTACCCATGACTGTCAAATGTAGGTGGACATTGGACATTTACAAGCTGAGACACAGGAGGATCTCTGTGAGTCCAAGGCCAGTCTCATCTACAGATGGAGTTCCAGGACAGCCAGGGCCATTACACAGAGAAACCCTGTCTCCAAAAAAATAAAAATCCACCCCACCCCCCAAAAAACCCCACCTGGTTAGAAGAGTCTGGAGAGATGGCTCAGCAGTTAAGAGTACTTGGTGCTCTTGCAGAGGATCAGGATCTGTTCCCAGCACCCACATGGTGGCTCACAGACGATTGTGACTCTAGTTCCAGGGATTCAACGCCCTCTTCTGACCTCTACAGACACCAAGGCACACTCATGGTGCACATACATTTGTGCAGACAAAGCAGGCACACACATAAAATAAAAATACATCTTTTAAAAAAAGTTTTTAAGAGAGATTAGATGGGCAGGGGTGGAGAGTAGGGTGGGGGACAGGACTCAGTAGCAGAACACGTCAACATCACTAGCATGCACAAGGCACTGGGGAAAAGTGTTAAAAATATAAGATATCTGAGCATTGTAATGCAGGCCTGTGCTACTCAGGAAGCTGAGAAAGGAGGATTACAAGTGTGAGATAACTTGGGCTAGAATGAGTTCAAGGCCAGCCTGGGAGCTTAGTAAAACCCTGCCAGCCCAGGTGTTAGTTTCTCTCTCCCGGTACTGATAAAAAGTAAAAGGGGTGTGTTGAGAAAGCTCAGTGGGTAAAGGTGATTGCTACTAAGCCTGGTGACCTGAGTTTGATCCACAAAACCCCTGCCAGTTGTTCTATGACGGCACACACACACTGTGGCACCTATACACATGCAAGTAAATAAATGCTAAAAATAAGTGAAAGGGCCTGAGGATATAGTTCAATGTTAGCATGTTTTCCTAGTTTGTGCTGAAACCTTGGTCCAGTCCTCAGTACTGGCAGGAGTGGGATATCATTTTCTGAAGATAATTTCTTCATATTTTAGACTATTTACACAAGTGCTTTTTTGATTCTTTTAAAAAACTGATATATAAAATAAAAACATACGTATTAACTGGCTACCATGAGAAGTGCTCAACTGCTTTTATGTGAGAAATTTCCCATGATCACTGAACTAAACACCAACTCATTAACCCAGTCTTTTCCTGGAGCATGAACCAATGTCATTGGCACAGACTATTCATAAGCATAGTTTTTAAGGATTAAAATAAGATGAGCAAGACTGAGAGAAAGAAGGGGAGTGGGGGAGTGAGAGAGGGGGAGTGAGGGAGAAAGAACAGGGCAGAACATGAATATAGTCAAAGTACACGATGTACTTGGCAGAAATTGTCTTTATGAGATCCAGCAAGATAGTGAATATACATCAATAAGCAGGAAATTAAAGTTAGTAAATGATGGATGATAGATTAGATATGCACACCCATTTATATACAAACATGCATACACTGTGCCATACATGTGCACACATGCTGATTTAAGATATGGAAAGCAACCTCTAGGAGTTCCAACCATGTATGTGAGCCCCATCCCAAGTGATCCTGCTCAAACCTGATTCAGAAAACAGATTCAAAGATGCTGCTTCTATAAGACTTCTGGGTTTGTATAAAAGCCACAAACCTTTGGGGGGGTGTGGCAGCTCATGTCTATAATCTAGGACTTGGGAGGCTGAGGCAGAGAGATTTACATGAATTCAAAGCTAACCTGGGTTATAGAGCAAAACCCAATCACACACAAACACATACACACAGTGGCCCTTCCCCGGGGCACTGAAGATGAGGAGACAGAAAGCTGCACAAATAAGATGCATCAGAATATTCCCACCTGCATGGGGCATCCAGGCAGAGGACTCTGTGTGGCTTCTAGCACAAGACCCTAGAACCCCTAAAGATAGCCCATCTCCTGATCGCTCTGGGTCCCAGAAAAGCCTCTGTGGAGCTAAGAAAGCAGACAAGTTTCCACTGTTGTCTGAGGCTGTGTGCTAGCACTGGGTCACTACAGTTGGGACAGCACTGTGGCTAAGGGGCTACTAGGAGTGAGTGGCAGGCAACCTTTCTCCCTCAGAAACATACCAGAGTCCATTGAGGGAGGTGAAGGTGGTGCCTGGCCAAAGTCACTGCTTTAGTGGCCTGTCCTCACCCTTACACATGCCCCCAAATTGTTCTGTTTTCCTGGGGGGACTGACTATAGGAGCCCATCCCAGGCCACTCCATTCCCTGTAGAGATCCTGTACCCTAGGCTCCTAGTGAGGCCAGCTGGATGAGGCCCCAGGCACTGCAAGTTGGTCTCATTCTCATAATTAAGCCACTGGCTTCTTTCCATACAGCAAATTCTGCGTGGTTGGATCAACAAGTCCTTGGATGTGTGTCCTGAGGAAAGAAGGCATTCTTGTGAAGAATGGCCACTGCTTCCTTATACAAGAGTCACCTGTGTCACCTGCCCACTCTGGTCTTCTTTCCTGGAAGGCCCCCAGGGAATAAAGAAGGCAGTCTAGGCCTTTGCCTCATCAGAAAGGCCTACAAGGGACAAAATGTCTTTTTGGGACCCAGGCACTGTATTCCTGAGAAAATTAGTGTCCCAGCAAGCCCCATAAAAGCAAAAAAATAAAAAAAAATTAAAAAATCACAAAACCAGGAGAGACCCCCCAACCCCTGGGGACAAGCCCTAGGCCTTGCTTGTCACAGGTGATCAGTTATGGGCTCCTCATCTCCACAGGATGAACAAATGACCCTCAGCCACAAGCAATCTGATGGAAACAGGATACATAGCAAGATCCAGATGGGACTGAAGAGATAGCTCATTGATAAAGCACTTGCCCTGCAATTGTGAGGACCTATATTCAGTTCCTAGAACCTATGTTCATAAAACAAACAAGCTGGACACAGATGGCTCAGCCTGTAAAAGCACTTACCCTGCAAGCCTCACAAGTTGAGTTTGATCCCTAGGACCCACTGCAGAAGGAATCAATTCCCCAAAGTTGTCCTTTAACCTCCACACAGGGACCATGGCTTGTGCACACACCCACACACACAGTTTTTTAAAAGTCAAGAGCTAGAGAGATGGTTTGGTGATTAAGAGTGTTTCCTGCTCTTCCAGAGGACTTTAAGTTCAGTTCCCAGCAACCATATCAGGTGGCTCACAACCACCTGTAACTCCAGTTCCAGGCGTTCTGACACCCTCTGCTAGGATCCAAAGGTACCTGCAGACTTATAGCAGACAGACAGACAGACAGACAGACAGACAG